CACAACAATGATTGAACGAAGCGGGAGTGTGCAACAGTGGAGGTGCGCGTAAGGGTAGAGAACCCGTGATGTAGGATGGATCGAAAGGAATGCTAACCTAGATTCAAGTGGAAGATCCATTCCGATTTTTGCTCATTTTTCCGATAAGAATGGCGAGGGGCGAGGAGCAGGCAGCGGGGATTGAGGACTTTCCTGTTGGTCGATGCACCACCCACCAGCCTGCAAGAGTAACTCGAGAGTGAGCGTAGCTCTGAGGCTCCAGGTCGTACCTATTGGCTTGTGCGCCACTCATTCCATTGGTTGGAGCAACATGAGATCAACTGCGGAACGCAGACTCGCCTGATGGCTGGTGTGGTGCGCATTTCTGCCAATCAAAGTGGCGTGAATCCAGCCGTAGGTCGGACACTCGTCGGTGCTTGGGACATACAAAACAGTCGATACCTGCGCACACTCTCGATCCACGACCCATATTTTGAGTTATAGCCGAGGCATTTCAGATCACGAGCTGAGGAGGGACTGAACTCGTTGAAGGGAGTTGCTGCTGAGACTTGGAGAGTCGCCAAAAGGGGGGGGCGGGGTCAACAAATAGCGGTTCGACTTCAGTGGATCAAGCTGCTGGGTATTTTGGCTATCATTGTGGGGCCCTCAGGCGCATCGAGGCAACAAGACCCTCTCCTGCGAGTTGAGTCAGTCCCTCTCTTGTATCTCGAGAGTCTGAAACCCCTTCTTCTGTCCTTCTTACTATAAGTCTAATCCAGTTCTGATAGGAAGGCGACAGGCGGGATTGCAACCCGTAAGACCGCAACAAGGCTCTGTGGGGAGTCAGCCCACTGATTGCAGGAGCTCAGCCGGAACTCGGGAGGAGTTTTGGAGGCAGGGAACCATTAGGTATACTTTCCTTTCTATTTGTATGACCCCACTATACCCATGTTTGACTATCTCCCTCTAGTTTTACTTTTATATGTATGTGTTCCCCTATAAGTTTTTTTTTTCTTTTCAGGATTCATTCAGACTGAAAGGAAGGAACATGTGTGAAAGAGCAACATAAGTTTCTTCTTTATTTTTTTTAATGAAAGCAGATTAAAGGATGAACTGGGGAAAGCTGGGAGGAAGGTAGTTTGCATGCGTTTGACCGGGTCAACCAAGGACTGGATATTGTTTCTAAGCTGAATGACCCAGGGCTATGTTTAATTGACTGTTTTCTGAAGGACCAAGCATTGTTTCTAAGATGAATGGTCTGGTTGCTGTGTTTATTTCTAAGGGTTTGCTTGACTGATCTTTGGGACCGAGCATTGTTTCTAAGTGAATGGCTTGATGTGTCTGTTTCCTTTTGGGGTTTCCGACTGAAGTTGAGCTGAAGAATCCAACTTCATACTTTGAATAACTTAAGGATATGTTGAACATTGTTTCTAAGCTGAATGATTCATCCTTTTGTTTATTTCTGAGCAAGAATTTCTGGTATAAGGCTAAGCATTGTTTCTAAGATGAATGGTTTAGCCTAAAAACCACACATATACGTACAAATTAAGTATAACAGAAAATACGTTATTTATACGTGCATATGAACTGACAGCTGGACATTGTTTCTAAGTTGAATGGTCTGACGCTAAGCCATATCACTAAGAAGAGAAGGAAAACCACAAAATATAATTGGAAGTAATCTGGGCAAGTTGAACATTGTTTCTAAGCTGAATGGCTCAGGCCTCTGCCCATATTTTAATTTCTTTTGACAATAAAGCCAGAAATTATTAAACTTTGGATATTAAATAGTTCAGGGCGACTAAATATTATTTCTAAGCTAAATGGTCTAGTCATATGCCCAAAGAAGAGAAAAGTAGTTGTGCAACATTTTCGTGTATATCTCAAGGCATGCTAGTCATTGTTTCTAAGCTGAATGGTCTAGCTCCATGACATATGTAAGTTGGGTATAAGAGATAAATCATCTGAAGGTTTTACGAACTAATGTATGAGAATTTGACTTGGGGACTAGTGAGAGTACTTACGACTGTGATTTAGCTTTGCATGTGGCTAAGTGAGATCACGACTTAGTCTAAGTTTCAATTTGATAGGTAGTTACTTTAGTTGTCCGCCACGTACTGGAGTTATATTAGTTCAATTTCTGCATTTTCTGAACCATTTTTTTTTACTTTAGTCAATTCTCGCATTTTCGGGGATCATGTGTTATACTTGACTTTGTATTTGGTAAGCCACTTTCTCTACGGGAAACGCTGTAGAAATTTCTACAAAAATCAGGGAGTTGGTCAAATCTTAACTTTTCAAAGTTCAGCTTGTCCAACTTTTATATATGGCTTAGTAATAATCTGGAAAGTCTCATTTTCTAAAGGGAGTGCTGCTCAAATTTTTGCTAACTCAGGGAGTTAGACAAAATTGAACTTTGGGAAGTCAAGGTCATTTCTAGATTCTGAACTTAGTTTTGTATAAATATTGAAATAACACTTTTCTAAAGGACGTGTTGCCGAAATTTCTATAAATATAAGAGGTTAGTTGATTTTTTTCTTAAATTGAACTCAAGTCAAACTTTTGGGTTTTAATATGACTTAGTATAAATTTGGAAAGTCTACCTTTCTAAAAGAGGTGTTGCCCAATTTTTAATAATTCAGAGAGTTAGATAAAATTTGACCTTTGAGAGTTAAAAATTATTTCAGTTTTCATATTAAAGCTAGTATAAATTCACAAACGGTTAACGGGTAGCTGAAAATTATGAAGTGAGAGTTTTTGGTAGTCTGAAAATCCTAAATGGTCATGAAGTGGTGAAAGGTCCGAAGACCCTGAAAACCACCTGTTCAGGCAGGTTGCATCTTAAAGTGGTGAAGTGAGAGTTTTTGGCAGTCTGAAAATCATGAATGGTCCTGAAGTGGTGAAAGGTCCGAAGACCCTGAAAACCACCTGTTTAGGCAGACTGCATCCTGAAGTGATGAAGTGAGAGTTTTGGACAGTCTGAAAATCTTGAATGGTCTTGAAGTGGTGAAAGGTCCGAAGACCCTGAAAACCATCTGTTTAGGCAGGTTGCATTCTGAAGTGGTGAAGGGTGTCTTGAAGTGGTGATGAAAAATGCGACTATTGTTAACCTTCTCTCTATAAATTCAGAGAAGACACTTTTCCTACGGGAAGCAGCATTGCTAAAAGTTTCTTGGTTTATAGGAGATAAATTATATTTTTACAGGTGGTGATATTGACAATCCACTCTGTATGGGGGAGATTCTGCCAAACATCTACTTTTTCGTTGGGTACCAACTTAGGGGTAGACTTAGGTTAGTTGGCAGATAACCTTGAATGAGAATGTGCTATGGAGATTCATTCCCCATATATTGATGATTTAGCTTGGGTATTGAACTGTCATATGATACAACCTCATCATACCGGCCTCCTTTGGACGTTTGACACAAGATTTGGACTAGATTTGACTTAATCCCAAGAGAATTATTTTCTGTTATCACTGATGACAACTCGGTTAACGATTCGTTGGTCTACGACGCAATTCCAATTCGTTCTCATTACCCAACCTAAAAAACCTTAGCCTTGGTGGTTTCTATTGTTTTATTAAGGTTTTTACTCGGAATTTTATTGAATGGTCATTTAACGAAGGTGCTGAGTATCTATTTTTGAAAGGTTGGACAAAGGTTGAGGTTTGCATGGCTAAAGCGAGGGGTATGAGTATAGAGAATGGTTGAAGTTGACCCCCTGTAGTGTGTTGACTTTTTGTTGATTTTTTGATGTGATTGCAAGTATGTTTTGTGATTCGGACTTTGGAATTGACTGTCAGCGATCACATACATATATATGGCTGAGAGGAGTCCCACTATGATTGTGAGAAGTGATAGTCAAATATTTATTCCCCGCTATATATATATAATTGATTCTATTCAATCTAGAATAATCAATGTCACAATCAYAATAWTTTACTTCAAAAGAGAATATATTACTATCTTATCAATCTAATAAGTATGAAGACATTGTTGAATTGTACTGACTTTGTACATTTCTGTCCGAAATAAAGATACATATATATATAAAATATATATATATATATATATATACATATATATACCTATGTTTGAGTGTTCGTGTAACCTAAAGAGCCCACGCTTAAGAGTTTAATTGGGGCTAAGATCGAGAGAGGAAATAAGTTTCCTTCCTTTACCGTTTTGCTTCTTTAAAATTTCTTACTCGAACGTTGGTTCTGGGTCTGGATTCGAGGTCCTTGTCCAAGACATCCCAGGTCCTAGACTCCGAGTGGAAGGGATCACCCCCCGCGCAGAGCCTATTTGCCCTGCCCATCCGGACACTCAACCTAAGGGCCGAAGGTGCCGCGATGGCCGAACGACTATTCCTTCAGCCGTGCAATATTGTGAAGGGTTCGACCCTCACGATATTTCGAGATTGATACTTGAGTGGCATAAGCGGTACTCGGATCCATGAGGGACCACTTGATTATGAACACTACACAGTACGCCATCATTGCGACTGCTTACGTATTCATGCATTGCTAGTCGATATGGGAAGACTCTGCGCCTGCGTGGTTTTATACTAAGTTTCTCGTGTGTTGCCTATCTGATTTCCGCGTCGAAAGGTTATGGGATGACTACCAAAGGGACTAGCATTGTTGTGGTGTTGTTTTGTTTTGTGTCGTTCCGTGCTTGTAAGTGTTGTGGTGTAACGCGTGGTATGTGGGATCCGTCCTAGTCGACCGATGACGAGTCGCGCTTGGGACTTCAGCCCCCCAGTGCGTCGGTTTGCATGAGGGTTCGATAGAGGCGTAAGCCCGCGCGTACCCCCTATGCTACAGCGAACGAGAAACGCCCTCGGCTGGTCTACCTCTACGATTGCAACTGATTAACTTTCGTACTGTGGACTGGTAGCTCGGCAGGGATATGCCCATCGAAGGAAGGTGACAACTCCCGCAGGTGGAGGTAAAGTTGTACCTCGCGTTGGCCCTATCCTGTCGTAGGGGCTCGCAAGAGGTATGGCTGGCGCACTCGGTCGGGGTGGCTTGCGAAAGCTCCATGTGTATCGCGATGAGTAAGACCAACTCCTGCATGATGCAGCCGGGAGGGTCCCCCCCTACGTGGTGTGGGACCGATGTGCTCGACAGTGTGGAGGAGCCATTGCCACATCAACACCCGATAATAAGTGTCCTCCTATTCTTCTCTTTTTTTCTTCACCCCCTCCTCCTTGTCCCCCCCCTCTTTCTCCTCCTCCTCTTTTTGTCTGAGTCATTCTGCTTGCTCATCTTTTCCTCCTCCTTCCTTCTTCTCCTCCTCCTCCTCCTCTTCTTGTTCCTCCTCCTCATCCTACTCGTCCAGTAAGAAGGTGTCACATGACACACCTATTCTTTTCTTGGCAGTGCACCATGATAAATTGACTACCACTCCTCCTATGTCTCCTCCTTCCTCCTCTTCTTCTCCTTCTTCTTTCTCCTCCTCCTCCTCCTCTTCCTCCTCCTCCTCCGCCATATCTATCTCCTCCTCCTTCTCCGCCATATCTCTTCCCCTCCTCCTTCTCCTATTCCACCGGTTCTCCTTACTCCTCCTCTTGTCCTTCTTCTTTTTCCTCCTGCTCCGCCATATCCGAGTCTCTCCTCCTTGTCCTTCTCGACCATATCTCTCCCCCTCCTCTTTGAAGTTCTCATTTTCACCTGTTCACCTTCCTCATCCTCTTCTTGTCCTTGTCCTTCTCGGGTCCTCCTCCTCCTCATGTTCGTCCTCCTCCTCGTCCTGCTCGTCCCGTAAAAAGGTGTCATGTGGCACCTTTTTTTTGGCAGTGCCCTATTATCAACCTCCTCCTCCCCCTCCTCTTCCTCCTCTTCTTCCTCCTCCTCTTGGCCCCTCTCCTTCTGCGGCATAATGACCTTGGTTGTCCTCCTCCTCCTCCTCTTCTCCTTCGTCGTCGCCTGCCTCCTATTCCTCCTCCTCCTCCTCCTCCTTCTCCTCCTCCTCCTCCTCGTCCTCCTTCTCGTCCTCCTTCTCGTCCTCTTCCTCCTCCTACTCTTCTTCCCCTTCCTCCTCCTCCTCCTCCTCTTCCTCTTCCTCATCCTCCTCCTTCGCCGCCATCACATATTTTTCCTCCTCTGCCGCCGCCGCCATATCTCTTTCCTCCTCTGCCGCCGCCACCATATCTCTCTCCTCCTCCTCCGCCGCCGCCATATCTTTGTCCTCCTCCTCTGCCACCGCCATATCTCTCCCCTCCTCTCTCATCTGCCATATGTGTCCTCCTCCTGCTCTTCCTCGTCCGCCTCCGCCAAGTGTCCTATTCCTTCATTGCCGCCATATCTCTCTCCTCCTCTTCCTCCTCCTTCTCCGCCGCCATATGTGTCCTCCTCCTCCTCCGCCGCCGCCTTGCCCGACTTTTTTAATGTGGGATGGGGGCACTAGCCATGTTTTTTTTTTTTTTAAGATTTAAATCAATCAATCAATCAATCAATCAATCAATTCATCAACCAAGGTAACTACCTGCCACCAATCTTTTGCAGGTAGTTTCATTAAATGATTGATCGATCGATCGATCGATTGATTGATTAATTAATTGAGTGGTTGATTGATTGATTGATTGATTGATTGATTGATTGATTGGTTGATTCATTGATTGATTGATTGATTGATTGAAAGCTAAAAAAAATTTACAAAAATATGTCGCGCGCCCCTAACCCATGCGCCTACCACCCCTCCTTCCTCATCTTCTTCTCCTTTTTTTTTCTCCTCCTCCACCATATCTATCTCCTCCTCTTCCTTTTCCGCCATATCTCTTCCCCTCCTCCTTTCCCTCTTACACTGGTTTCTCTTTCCTCCTCCTTCTCTTGCCCTTCTTCCTTTTCCTCCTTCTCCGCCATATCCGAGTCTCTCCTCCTCCTTGTCCCTCTCGGCCATATCTCTCCGCCTCCTCCTTCTTGTTTCCACATGTTCTCCTTCCTCATCCTCTTCTTGTCCTTCTCCTCCTTGAGTCCTCCTACTCCTCCTCGTCCTGTTCGTCTCGTAAAAAGGTGTCATGTGACACCTTTTTTTTGGTAACGCCCCATTATCAGCCTCCTCCTCCCGAGAGATGGTCAATGAAGGCTACATATTTCATTGAATCTATATCGAAAACAGTCTTATATGTGGTACACCGAAGGTAAACTCTTCAATTTCATGAAAATACACTTCGGTGTTTTACTTAGTTGATTTTTTATCATCTACTGACATTATATCCCATTTGCTTTCGGTGTTTTGGTACCAAAAACACACTTCGGGATTTCGGTGTTGAACTTAGTCGATTTTCTACCATCTAGTATATAATATCCGGAAGTACTTTCGGTATTTCAGTACCGAAAAGGCACTTCGGGGTTTCGGTGTTCAACTTAGTCGATTTTTTATCATCTACTAACATTATATCCCAAAGTGCTTTCGGTGTTTCGGTACCGAAAACACACTTCGAGATTTCGGTGTTTAACTTAGTCAATTTTTTACCATCTAGTATATCATATCATGAAGNAAGTGCTTTCGGTGTTTCGGTACCGAAAACACACTTCGAGATTTCGGTGTTTAACTTAGTCAATTTTTTACCATCTAGTATATCATATCATGAAGTGTTTTCGGTATTTCGGTGTTTAACTTAATCAATTTTCTATCATCTACTACATTATATCCCGAAGTGCTTTCGGTGTTTCGGTACCGAAAACACACTTCATAATTTTGGTGTTTAACTCAGGTGATTTCTATGATCTACTAAAATTATATGACAAAGTGGTTTCGGTGATTCGGTACCGAAAACACACTTTGGGATTTCGGTGTTTAACTTAGTCGATTTTCTACCATCTGGTATATCCCGAATTGCTTTCGGTGTTTCGATACCGGAAACGCACTACATGATTTTCGTGTTTAACTTAGTCGTTTTTTTACCATCTAGTATATCATATTCCGAAGTGTTTTCTGTGTTTCGATGTCGAAAATGCACTTCGGGATTTCGGTGTTTAACTTAGTAGATTTTCTATCATCTACCAACATTATATCCTAAAGTGCTTTCGGTATTTCGGTATCGACAACTTACTTCGGGATTTTTCGGTGTTTAACTTGTCAATTTTCTATCATCTACTAACATTATATCCCGAAGTGCTTTCGGTGTTTCGGTACCGAAAACCCAATTCGGGATTTCGGTGTTTAACTTGATCGATTTTCTATCATCTAGTAGCATATTATCCCGAAGTGCTTTCGGTGTTTTGGTACCGAAAACGCACTTCGGAATTTCGGTGTTTAACTTAGTCGATTTTCTATCATCTGGTATATCATATCCCGAAGTGCTTTCGGTGTTTCGGTACTGAAAACACACTTCGGGATTTCGGTGTTTAACTTAGTTGATTTTCTACCATACAGTATATCATATCCCAAAGTGTTTTCGGTGTTTCGGTGCCGAAAATGCACTTCGAGATTTCGGTGTTTAACTTAGTCAATTTTCTATCATCTACTAATATTATATCCCGAAGTGTTTTCGGTGTTTCGGTATCGAAAACGCACTTCGGAATTTCGGTGTTTATCTTAGTCGATTTTCTATCATCTACTAATATTATATCCCGAGGGGCTTTCGGTGTTTTAGTACCGAAAACGCACTTCGGGATTTGAGTGTTTCACTTAGTCGATTTTCTACCATCTAGTATATCATATCCTAAAGTGTTTTCAGTGTTTCGGTACCGAAAAAACGCTTTGGGATTTCGGTGTTTAATACATCATATCCCGAAGTGCTTTCGATGTTTCGATACCGAAAACGCACTTCGGGATGTCGGTGTTTAATACATCATTTCGTGAAATGCTTTCCGTGTTTAATACATCATATCCAGAAGTATTTTTGGTGTTTCGATATCGAAACACACTTCGGGTCAGTTTGGGGGCTAATCTTGGCCCCAAAGGCTAAGGGCATGGGGACGAGCTAGGGGGGGGGGC